TAATTAAGTGGACAAAATTGGAATATAAGAACTGGGTAAATTTGAAGCCGGTCATTTTTCTTGTCTTCGTGTTTTGATGAATTATCGTTAAGCACCATTATAATGTCCTGCTCTGACGATGTCCGTCAAATGACGGACGAAAGCTTAGCAAAGAGTCGCAGGGAAATGCGCGGAGGACCTATTCGCACAAACCTACATTCACACCTCAAAGACAATCTCCCATTCAGCTTTCAGTGAGGCCAACTTATGAATACCTTCCAAACGAAATGAATTGTACACCCAATATCATAACCATTGAGTTGCATGCAAGATTTATCACTTAATATCCTGTTTGTGGTGATGGAAAACACGCAACCCTATGAAACAATTGTGGATGATAATTTAGAAAACCCTTATTATAGATATCTCAGGGATTGTCAGATGAGCCTCACATAACCAATATACACAGATCATATATATTAAATTCAAATCCTCAATCATATTGTGTTGTCTATAATGCGAAGCCTATCTTGAATTAATACTATATTAAATTGAATAGCCGCTATCAGGTGGGAGGTGACCAAAAGTGCTATAGAGATTTGTTCACATATGCACCTATTATATAAATAATATACAACATTATATTAATATTTTAACACCAGCAATGGATCATAAACATAGGCCAAAGATAACTGAGACAGAGTGAATGCGGTGTGGTGAATCAGACTTAAAACTTCAGGTCAAAGCGCAAATTTTGCATAAGCACCTCACATGAAAGAGCGCATTAAAGTTAAGAAGACTGGAAAAGGATCTGAGCATTCACAAGCATACGTACGAGAGAATTATATATATATATATATATATATATATATATAAATAATGACTACCTGAGCTTCTAAAAACTTACTAAAAAGAAAGTACAAGCTAAAATGTTCCACGATGAAAAGTATATGCTCTATTTTATTAAAAAATGAATAAATAAAGTAGTTAACGAACGAATTCAGTCAAATAAATCAGATGCACCCACTCTGCAAAAATAACCAGAAGACGCTTTTGACAGTTTGGGGATAGTGGTTCAACAGGAAGGACTAGTGGCTGAGTGCCTCGTTGAATATAATTCGTGCTGCTGATAGAGATGAAGTCAGTTTGCCGACATGGACACCTAGTTTTAAGAGCGAATTTGTGTCCCAACAGAAGGAAGTAAGTTGCGGTGTCTCCAAGGGAAGCCGTGGATTCAGCCAAATCGGCCAAGTCCGAGTCAGTGAATCGACGATAGTGATAAGGACGATATGTGGAAGGTAAGGAGGTAATGGATAGAGAATCTTTTTGGCAAGGCAGGGTCTCGAATGTAGCATGGTTTTGAAGCAGCTGTCTCCTAGGAATTTGTGCTAACGCGGAGTGGAGAGCTCTTACAAGTCGAATTTCAGCGAAAGTCAGTTTTGGAAGTATAGATGGTGGCGGAGAGGCGTCGGGGCTGACACCGGAGCCGAGAGCAGATGGATTAGTGGAAGAATTGTCAGAGCTGAACGAAGGAGAACGAAGCAGCTGTAGCAAGAACCGAAGGCAG